TTATTATATGCCATGGCAACTTTTGAATATGTTGTATAATACGATGAATATGTTGCAGTGATGAATATTGTTTTATAATATGATGAAAAGTTACATATATTATTAAGATGAAAATGTTGCATTATGAGAGGACGATTTTAAAATATAAATAATAATGTTCATAAATTGAGGATTTTTTTTAAACGATTACCGAGAATTAATGATTACATTTCGAAAGTGACGAAATACTTACACTCTTTAAAGGCATGTTCCATTTGACTTTTTTATGTAACATTCATTTTTTTTACACACACCCTACATCATGAAATTAATACACCCTAATTAAATACTATCTGTACAACACCAACTCCTCCACTTCATACACATCAATCATTACGATTTGGAAGATAAAGAGTCTATTAAAAATAACATTCATCAATAATTCATCATATTGAATATTTTATTTTGAAATCAAATTTATGTAACTGTAAGTTATAGTTATTTAACTTTTATATGATTTAATAAAAACCAACATTCAAAAACACTTCCTCATATTAAAGATTTTATTTTGAAATCAACATTAGAAATTTAAAAAATATTTTGTAGTAGAAAATAGTTAGAAGATCAAGCTACGCATTAGTAAAAAATCTAATGTTATAATTATGTTCTTAATTTCGGTTATTAATAAATTTTATAATTTATAGGATCAAAATTGACATAAAAAGTGCAGAAACGCCGGTTTTATCTTCTATCATCATATCAACAGTCGTGTCTAATCAACTCAAGCGTGCATTTACCCTCATCTCAACGCCTCTTCTCTTATCTCTTCCGAACCGTCAAGTTCCAGTTTTCACATCAAAATAAATTCTTCCATTATAAATAATGGAACAAATACAAAAACATCTTATCCCCTTATACCAACAGAAAAAAACCTAAGAGAAATTAAATATGTTCTCTGCAAAGCCAACAAACATAATGGACCACTTCCAGTTGGTGAGAAAGGAGATGAGCGAAAATCGTTCTAATGAGTTGTTGGAGTTGGCATTTTGCAGCATACTCAGACGATTTGTGGTTTTCGAAAACATAAAGGACGAGATTGACCTGTGGTATTTTTTAATCGGATACACAGGTGTTTTGTTGAGGAGACAAGGGCCTGGTTTACAAAGGATGATAGTTATCGCTTGTACTACGTGCTGAAGGAGAGGTACAGAACATTCAAGTGGTTGTTGGACCAACCAGGTGTATATCACGACATTTATGCCGGGACTTTTCATGTACCAACTCTTGTTAAGGAAGTTTCACTTAAGGTAAATTGTTGAATAATTAAATCCATGAATATATAAGTTGTTTATGTTTTGTGTATATTTTGCCGCTAAAGTTTTTTATGTTTTGTGTATGAGAAGCATTGGGCACTTGCAGAATACGTGGTTGATAAACCGGAACCAAAGTGGGAGGTGTTGAAGTCAATTTTCGAACCAATGGGCCATTTGGAGGATTACCCTGGCGAACAGAATCCGAAGACGATTAGTGATTTCCCAGAACTTTGTCGTCTATATGAGTTGCACTTGGAAACGTTGAGTAAGCCGTTGCTGCCGTGGGACTACGCAGATGACAAGTCACTTTAGAAAAAAGTTTCTGTTTTTGTTTATCATGTTTCTGCTTATTTGGACTAATTGTGTCGATTGCAAGTGTTTTGTTTACGAATATTATATGATGAATAAGTTGATTTCGCACTAAATATTAATATTAAGAAGATGAATATGTTTCATTGTAAAATGAACATGTCAAACTATAAGATGAATATGTTATGTTACAAGATGAATAAGTAGATTTCGCACGAAATATTAATATTAAGAAGATGAATATGTTTCATTGTAAAATGAACATGTCAAACTATAGCATGAATATGTTATGTTACAGATGAATAAGTTGATTTCGCACGAAATATTAATATTAAGAAGATGAATATGTTTCATTGTAAAATGCACATGTCAAACTATAAGATGAATATGTTATGTTACAAGATGAATAAGTTGATTTCGCACGAAATATTAATATTAAGAAGATGAATATGTTTCATTGTTAAATGTACATGTC